TACATGGAGAATGCAATGAAATGGGAGTAGAGAGTGATCAGGGAGGCTCAGTGGGAGACTGCATTCATCCAAGTGAAAACTGACTGATTTAGTGTAAGGCTACAGTGTGGAGATGGAAAGGAATATATGCTGGGGGTCAATCTGACAGGATTTACTGATGGAGTGGATGTGGCTGGAGAGGAGGAAGACTGGAAAAGAAAGAAAATAATAAAGGATGGGGTTTGGGACTTTTCTACACCAATGTAGATGGTTGAGAGGCAGTAGTGTATGGTGACTAACAGCCTAGAAGCCAGATCCAGACGGCCAGGGTTCAAATTTTTGCAGTACTACTTAGCGTGTTACTTATCTCTCTGTTCTCAGCTTCCTCAACTGTAACAAAGGCTGAATAAGGGCTGTTTTGAGGGCAGAGTGAGATGTACAAGGTGTTACCTATTAGTATCATTATGTGTTGGTGCCATTTACTGAAGTGGAAATTCTGTAAAAGAAACAGATATGAGGGAAATAAAAAACAACGCTTTTGATCTGTTAGATTTGGGATGCCTTTTGGACAGCAAAGAAGGCAGTTTGAGAATGGCTATTTCATACAAAGGAGTGGAATGGTACAACCCTTGCCTTTCAAATTAGAAGAAAATGTCCAATTACTTTATCTTATTTCCTTTGCTTTGATTGGCAGAAGCAGCAGGGGCCTTTCTGAAGGCTTATTGAAAGCAGTTCAAGAGAAAGGATTAACACTGTTTGCTGAGAGTAAAAGAAGGAATGCAGTGTTTAAAGAGATGTAGGCATTCTTTCTGTTCCTTCCAATTCACCCCATCCTAATGAAAGTGAAGATCACAACTGGTCAGTGAAGGGCAGATCATAGAAAGGGTGCTTAACGGGCATGGGGGTGAGAGCTGACCATGGTGAGGGGAGCTCTCGGGGTGGTAGACTCTAGGGCTTTTTTTTTTCTTTAATTGCAGCCAAAATTACTTGTCCACATGGTCAAATAGCCACTTAAAGGAGTTCTCCTGTCCCTGCCTCTAGATTTGGAAAAGTGTGTTAGAGTCTGAGCATAGAGTGAAAGTTGTGGTTGGGGCTGCTGAATCTCAAAGCATTTCTAAAAGGAACATTTTTGTTTGATTTCAATGCAAATGTATAAAACCTGGGAACTACAGGAATACACAAAACAGAACATCATATTTATATTTCAGTATATCCTTATACTCCCTTTTTCTGAGTAATGCATATTTTAAATATTTTCACTTAGTAACATATCCTGGAAATTTTCCCATGCCGTCACATGATATATTTATAGTTATTAAATGACTATGTAGTAGTCAAATCTGTGAATGAACCATAACGTATTGACTAACCCCTTGTATTTTAAAATGTCCAAATTTTTCTCTTTTATAAGTAAGGTACTCTGAAAATTCATATAGATAAATCTTTCTCTTTTTTTCCCATTTATTTATGTATTTATTTTAGTTTTATTTTATTGATTTATAGTCAGTTTACAATGTTGTGTCAATTTCCAGTGTAAAGCACAATTTTTCAGTCATACATGAATAGATAAATCCTTCTATTGTCACACATTTATTTCCTTAGGATAGTTTTTGCTAGAATGAAACTTGTGTAAAGGCTTTTAAAGGTAATGATTCATTACCCTCCAATAAGATTATACTGATTTATAATCTTAGCAGCGTTTGTAAATACCCATTTCTCCACTTTCTAACTTATACTGGGTATTATAAAAAAAATTGTTCCTTTAATTAATGAAAAATCGTACCCCTGCATATTTGGCTCTTTCCTTTGTGACTCACCTGAGCACAACCTTTGCCCACTTTTCTAACGGCGTATTACTCTTTTCCTTATTCTTTCTTTTCTAATATTTTATTTGGAAATAATTTCAAACTTACAAAAAGTTGTAAACATCATGATAGCACAAAGAGCACCCTAGTAGTCTCTACCCACACTCACCTATTATTAACATTTAACCCATTTGTTTTCTCTTCACCCCTACTGCTGTCCCTCCATCCCTTTTTCTCTCTCTTCCCCCAAAACCCACACACAATTTTTTTCCTGTACCATTTGAGGATAAGTTACCAACAACATGATCTTTTACTTCTAAATACTTCAGCCTGTCTTTCCTCAGGACAGTGATACTTTGCATAACCAGCAGAGTAATCAATGTCATTGACTTTAATCTACCACTCGTATTCTGACTTTGTCAATGGGCCTTTATAGCACTTTCTTCTCTAGCACACAATCCAGGTAGTGTCAGCCTTCTTGGTATGTCTCTTTAGCCTCCTTAAACCTGAAATATTTCTAGCCTGTCTTTGTCTTTTTAAGACATGGACATTTTTGAAGAATGCAGAATCCTGCATACTTTTTTAAAATTAAAACCAATTTTTATTTTGTATTTTTCTGATGTTTCCTCTTGATTGGATTAAGGATATGTACTCTCAGCCAGACAACCACATAGGTGAGGATGTGCACGTCTCAGAGCATCACACCTGGAGGCACACGACCATTTGCCCCATTGGTGATGTTAATTTTAGTCACTTGATCAAGATATTGCTTAATTTTTCCACTGTATTATTATGAGGCTTTTTGCTCCCTTTCAACTAGTAAACAGTCTATAAGAGACATTTTAAATACATGCAAATGCTCTACTTTTCATCAATATTTACCCCTAGATGTAACATCCATTAATGATTTTTGCCTTATCCAGTCTTTATCACAGTCATCACTAGATAATGATTTTTCCAACTCCCTCCCCATGTATCAGTGAGCCCTCAGCATTCTACTTTGAGTAAGGGCTTCCCTTCTTCCGTTATTGATTTATTTATTATTCGTATGGACTCATGAACCCCTATTTTCAATAGTTTACAATTTATCACTGTACTTATTATTTAGGTGCACAGACTGTCCTAAGGTTAGCCAGTGGGGGCCCCTTCAGGCTGGCTCTTGTGACATCTGACCAAGATCCCATTGTCTTTTATAAGCACTTTCCTACTTTCTGGTATAACGAGGTGTTTCAGATATGCCTACTCAGCCCCAACCTTGGAATCAGCTATTTCTCTGAGCAGTCCTGGTTCCTCTGAGTGGGAATGGTATTAAAGACCAATATCTAGGCCCTAAATATTAATTCATGTGCTACTTGATTCTGGTAATGGTTTCATGGGCTTATATACATGTCAAATTTGTCAAACTGTATGTAATTTATTGTATGTCAGTACAATACCTAAATGAAGCTATTTTACAAAAAGTGGCTAATAAAGGAAAAAATTTTTTACAAAAGAAAAAGTAAAACTAAAATACAGTGTTAAAGGATAAAACTTGGGCAATAAAACTCCAAAGAAAAAGTGATTACCATAAAATTCATGAGAATGGTCATTTTAGGGAGGGCTATGACTAGGACCAGGGGCATGAAGCTCCTAGGCTAGCTGGTGGATACAAGGGTTTTCTCCTTAAAATAATTCATTATGTAATTGTTTATGCAATTTTTTGTAGCTTACAGTTTTATATTTCACAATAAAAAGGTTTAAAAATAAATGAATGTTGTTCATGTTCATGATATAAATAAATTTTTGTCTATTAGGAATTAAAGTCATTCTGCAGGTAGGGCAACCCTATTAATAATCTAACGTATCTTCGTACATTTATAAACTTGTTATTAAAATAGCTTATAAAGCTATTTTAAGGTACATTCAGATAATGAACTATTAATGAGCAGTCTATACAAACTGAAACTGGAATATTAATCTTTTTTGATATCTTACCTTTTTGAATATTGTTATGACCCAATCATATAAGATCAAAATAAATGTTTATTTCAGTTTTAGAATTTCCATTTTGTTCTTTTTAATGGATTCTATTTCTCTGCTGAGATTCATTATCCTTTCACTAATTAGAGTAGATTTTCCTGTATGTTTTTGAGCAAAGTTATAATTGTGCCTTCAAAAATCCTTGTCTGCTAATTTCAATCTGGGGCATCTCAGAGTCAGTCCCTATTAATTGTCTTTTCTCTTGAGAATAAGCCATGCTTTTCTGTGTCTTCCATGTGGAATAATTTTTATCATATTCTGGACATTGTGAATGTTATGTTATGGAAATTCTGGATTCTATTTCTCCAAATACTATAGTTGGTGGTAGGAGTGGTGTTACTTTAATAATAAACAGGCAATAAATTTGGTCAGCCTCAAACTGCAAACTGTCTCTAGGGCAAATCTCAGTTCAGTTCTTTTATTCTTAACTGGGCTGCTTGGAGTCTGCCTGGGACACATGTAGTTCAGGGCTCAGCCAGACATGTGGACAGAGTTTATATGCAGTATTTGGGACTCCTTCTCTCTGGCTTGCTCCTGTTCAGGATTCACTCTTCACTTTCCAGCAGCAGTGATTGTCCATAAACACTGTCCTGTAGTTCTTCAAGCCAGAACAACCGTGAGTTTTCTATCAGTTTTCTATCAGGATTTTGGTTTTCCTGCATGGAAATTGCAGACTGGGGCCTGCCTTCAAGTTTGAACATCATTAAAACAAAAAGAAAAACAAAAACAAAACACCTGACCCCATGGCTGCCACTTTTAAGTGTCAGCTTCCCTCCAGAATCTTCCTGCTTTTGGTCACTTTCACATAGGTGTTTTTCTTTTCTTTTCTTTCCTTTTTTAATGTTATCTAAAGCTTACATCGGTCTGATAGAAGGTTACTTGTCCATTATGGAAGTGAACTAAATATTGATTTCTTTAAAGAGTTAATAATATGAAGATGCTAAGAAATTTTTTTATGGCTGAATAAAATGATGATATAGAAAAACACATAGAGTTGGACAAACAGTTTAGGTTATTTTTTGGCAAACAAAAACCCTTTGACTATATATGTCTAATTTCATGGAAATCTGTGTATGTAACCACAAATAGAATATGAAGATAAGAAAAATAATAAAGGAAAAACATGTTTTTAAAAAAGAAAGAAGATTCATTCTATAACTATTTTGAATCATTTGAACCTCTTTTGTATTATTTTAGGAATAAATCTAATGAAGCTGATGAGTGTCAAAGAGAACTTAGAAAACTGAAGTTTGAATCCATTATTTCTGAGTCACGGTATACACTGCAAATTTTTTATTTAATATTTTTAGTAATTGAATTTGAAACCATATTTTAAATAACATTTTATTTAAAATGTACTTATCTTTTCTTATTGTATTCTTTATATATACAATACCTAATTTGAGATTGTAATATATTGAAGCTGTTCATTGATTTTGCCTCTGCCTAGATATGAAAACTTTATAACCACAGAACTGTCTATTTACTTTGCATTCTTAATTTTTTTAAGTTAGAGTTAAAGTCTTTAGTTTTAAGTGAAATGTTTACATATCTTTAATAAAGATGAAAATATAGTGTTCAGTGCATATTGGTGGTTTTTTTCCTTATTCCATTTTAGGCACACCAGATTGCTTAAAGAAAAAGAGGACTCTTCAATGACTTGTCAACAAATATATAAAACTTTACAAGAAGAACTGACTGCAAAAGAAAGACGAGAAGAAGACTTAAAAAGAAGAATTAATTTTGCAGAAAATGAACTAGAGATAACCAAAACTCTTCTGAATCAGACAAAGGAAGAGGTTGTAACACTGAAAAACGAAAGGTACAGTCAAGAATAATTTCTTCCAAATATGCTTTGTGTTTAAGTCAGTATTCTCTATATATATTTGAAACAACAAGATCCTACATATTTTGATAACAGTGAACTCACAGGATTAAAGATTTTTTTATTTTTTAAATTTTATTTTATTGAGTTATAGTCAGTTTTCAATGTTGTATCAATTTCCAGTGTAGAGCACAATTTTTCAGTTATACATGAACATACATATATTCATTGTCACATTCGGATTAAAGTTATATTTCACCTGAAAAGTCATTGCATCCCACCACCTTATTCCATGAATGATTAAATTGAAGCCCAAATTAGTTAAATGACTTGCTTAACATCACACAGTTAGTTATTGGAAGTAAAGATGGAACCCACGTTGCATTTGATGTTAGATTTTTATTGAAAAGGATCAAAAAAACCATGTGTGGTACTTAAAACTACTGAATTTCACCATGGCCAATAATTGGTAGATTCTATCATTTTCCAACAGAAAAAATCTTTTATATTATTTTCTTTTTATTAGCTCCTGCTTTTCTTCTCTCTTTATTTATCAACACCTCTTATTGAGGGCTCTCCACAGGCAAAGGTACCTCTGGTACTTAGTAATGTCAGGGATACTAAGAAGCATATTCCTCCACCCACCCTGATATTTTTGCTTACTTAATTTGTCTTTAAATTAACCTTATCTGTACTTAATATCTCAACCCTGCTTTCTTTCTTTTTGTTTTCATTTGCCTGATATGTCTTTCATTCTTTCTGAGTCCTTTTGTTTTGAATTCATATCTGATAAATGTACAAATTTGGGGAATTTGTTGTATTGGTTTTTGTAAAATCTGGCAGTCTTTAATAGAAGATGTTATGCGATTTACATTTATTGATATAACTATTATATTCCATAAGAACACAAGTTCCATAAGAGCAAGAATTTCTGTCTTGTGTTATTCTCTGTGCACAGAAGGTGTGATTGGCTATTTGGTTTTCATTCTTACTATCATTTTAAATTTTATTTATTTTATGAGTATTTGGATGCTTTATAATTTAGATTTATAATCTTGTTTTCGTTCTTTTTAAGGGTAGCTATTTGCTCCCAGAGGAAGAGTCTGAGAGTAGGGCCCTGGGAGTGGGTAGCAGGCAGCTTAGAATTAGGTTCATTGTCTCAAAACTTTCTCACCAGCACTGTGCCCCGGGTCATATCTGTCTCTACTCCAGACTAGACAGAGTTCTGTCTAGTTCACAGAGAAACAAGGCTTGTCTTTGGTCCCTCCTGGGATGATACACATTTACTTCTCTTTGATTGAATAGGATGAACAACCACAGAGCTGATTGCCACCTACTATTGCTTCCTCACCCTGCCACACCAATAACCTGCTTCTTGCAAAGATAATGTGCCTTGTAGTTATGTGACTTTTCATTCCACTCTTACCTCTGCCATTTCACAATTGTGTCACTGTTAAGCCCATAGCATATTAGAAGCAGCAATTTTATAAGCAGGACATTTGCGAGAGCCAGGCTGACTAATAAGAAGGAATGGTAACTGAAAGATTGACCATGCATAAGAAGAAAGAAAAACTATAAGCTCAAACAAAAAACTTTAAAAGCATTGCAGTTTAGCCCAATGTAGATAGAGACAAACAGCCCTGTACACATCAGTCACCTTCAGTGTCCCTTTATTTATAACATGGGTTAATAACTGATGGCCATAATGATGATCCTGAGTCAGAAAGATTAAAATCAGCTATATACTCTAAGTATATAGAAGGAAAAGAATACCCCATTTCCAGTGATGTCAGGTTAATTAGACTTAACTGTTTATCCAGATGAATTCTGTCTCCTTCATAGTGGTCATTGTGAAGATTCTATCTCTGTTCAAGCATTTCTGGAACTCTTTTCTGAGGATTGGCTTAAGTGTACATGTTTTAGAATATACTCAGTATGATGAATCTTTGATCTTTAGGAATGAATTTGATTTTGAAAACAATCTCAATAGATCCAGTGAAAGCAAGTTCAGGGAAAATGATGGGAAATCAGTCTGGGAACTATCATTGGGGATTAAAAATAAGTAAAATATTTTCTTTTTTTCTACACTTAATAAATTATCTCTGGCAGCAATTTAAAGATGGCAGTTTCATGAATGTTTTAAGGATTAATAATATCATTGGAATAAATATAGAACTTTCTTGGGAGATTGATTGCTTTGAAATAGCACACTATGTTTTGCCATGTTTTTAAAAAATTTAGTATGATCCTAGTCTTACCTTCTATTATAAGTGTTAAAGATAATTTGTTTAAATTTTCAGAGAACAGAGATATTACTGGACTGCTTCCTCCTCTTCTCCCTTCTACCCCAGCTTTTTTTTTCTCTCTCATACTCTTGCCCTTTTTCCTTCTTTTCTCTCTATACTTTAGTCTATCCAAAAGCAGACATGGTATTACCTAGTCATTTGGTGGCACCAAGTTTACTGACATGCTGTCTGTCACATTATAAAAATTAAAATGTGCTTGTGGATCAATAAGTTATCAGACTATCATAGGAGTACTCCTAGACATAAGCATTGCCTTTTTTCTTTGTGCTAGGCCACTTTCAGACTTTTGTCTGCCTTGTCTTCTGTTGTATCCTTGGAGTCTGGCACATGTATCCCCTCAATAAATATTTGTTGAGTGAATGAAGTACTTGCTTTGGGTAATTCAGTCAACAATTATTTGTTGAGCATTTACTAAATGCCAGGTACTATGTACCTTGGGGATACAACAGTGAATCTGAAATTTCCCTGTCCTCGTGAAGCTTACATTCTAATGGGAGAGACAAACTATTAAAAAGATAAAAACTAGAGAACTAACAAGAATAATTATAGATTGTGATAGTGAATTTAAAGTAAAGGGTATTGTAGTAGAGACTGATAGAAGGGGTACCTGCTTTGGAAAGGGTAGTTGTAAAAATAACTTCCAAAATGATACATGAAGAAGACAAGCAGAGAGAGGTTCCCATACAAAGGACCAGGGAAGAGTTTTACAAGCAGAGAATGAGCTTAGTGAGTTCTCAGAAGTGCTAGTGGAGTCCTAGCAAGTGTGAGGGAGGGAGGTGAGGGCCAGTCATGCAGGGCCTCATGGGCCCATAGGAGTTTGGGTATTATTTTCAGTGCAATGAAAAGAAACCATTGAAGGGATTTAAGCTGAGGAGTGACACTGGTGAACGATGGTTTTGGCTGCTGAGTGGAGAAGATATTGGAAGTGGGGGCAAGTCAGGTCATTTACTGTTTTGATATTAATCAAAGGATTTTGTGTATAGTTAAGCCTAAGAGACCTGAGAAAAATGAAAGTCTTCAGCTCTCACCCTCTGCACATTTCTACTGGATCTGAATGTCTGCACCAAGTGGATGGGAGCAAATAGCCAGGGCTTACATCATGTTGAGCCAGAGGGATATATGAAAGCCAGGGTAAAAAGACATCCTAAAGAACAAGTGACCTTTCGGAGGCCTTGACCTTACTATCTAAGCCTTCCTTAAAACTTCGTTTTCCTTTGGCTTCAGGGGCAACATGCTATCCTGCCCCCTTCCTGTCTCTGCTTTGGTTCTTTTCCCTTCCCTCCTTCGATCACCTGACAACAGACGTTCCTTGAAGTTCAAGCCTGAACTTGGCTTTCCTCTCTCCACTTTCTTTCCTTCAGTGAACTGTCTCTCAGCTGAGCAAATTTGCTTTTGAATCTTTGATTTGAAGCACCAATGGGATCTCTAAATAGAGGTGTCCTTAAGCAGTTGGAGATGTGAAAGTCCTTCCAAAAAAAGAAGCTGGGCTCAGGAAAAGCTTAAAATAGAGATGCTTGATGACTCCAGCAGAGATTCTGGTTCAGTAGGACTGGGCGGTGCCTGGGAATCTGCTACACAGCAAGGTCCCAAACCACTGCCATGGAAGGACAGCAACCAGCCAGGCTGGCAGATGTGCTCCCCAAAGGCCAAAGCCCAACTCGCCCACAGTACCAGTGTGTTCTGCAAACTCAGGCAGTTTCTTCCACTCACCACCCCTCCTCCTCCACCCCTCCCGACAGCAGAGCCCCTGCCAGTGATGCCACTGGGACCATTATGGAAAATGTGAGCCCTAGAAGCTATGTAGCTTCAGAAGAGGAGAAAAAGAAGATGTGAAAAGCCAGAACTGGCCCTAGAAAACAACTGGCAGAACTTCTGAGTTTGGGGTAGGAAAAGAATTAGTGACAAGGAAATAATTCATACATTAGGACAAATCTAATTGATTAGGCATTGCTTCCTCCCCCACACTCAGCTGAGAAGCTCTAGTAGGAGAAGAGGCTCCACTGTAAAGAAAAGAAGTGATCCTTCGCGATCCCAGGGGCTGAGGGTAGAGAAGGCCTGGCCAGCTTGGTCACAGGCACACTGGGCCTGGAGAGGGGGTCTCCTTGGTGGGTGGGGAGGGATACAGCAAGGTACAGGGACAGTGCCAGAGAAAAGTGTAGCTATGTTTAAAATTCTGTGTAAAGAGAGTGAGCCCTCAGCTCTCATGCTTCCAGGCTACAAGGTGTCTTCGGCCAGGGCCAGAACTCTGCCCAGGACCATGAATTTGTGATACCACTTCAGAAGTATTATGAATTAAATAGGGTTTTGTGGGCTGGCCTGCAGGCCTAATTCCTTTTATATGGAAAGTTATTTCTATGGTAAAATGTTTTCGGGAATTTCTATAATCAACCTACAAATACGTTTTAGAAAGACATATGTGTTTAAGCTTGGAGACTGCCCACATCTAACACTTAGAGAAATTCATTTATGTGGTAACGTGTGGCCTACAACCGCACTGCCGAAACACACAGCTGTTTGTAAGAGCCCACACCCGGTTCATTCATTCCCAAGAGCTGTGTTAGACCTATCTTGGTAAGTTCCAAGAAAAAAATATAGAAGAGTACTTATTGTGATGTACTTGCCAATAACATGACAGGTTTAGTGGAGAACGTTTTTGGACAAAAAGCTTCATTGTGTCCAAAGTTAGGTGCA